TGTGTGTGTGTGTGTGTGTGTACACACACACACACACACACACCTCATCTTCTTTATCCATTCATCAATCAGTCTATGGACAAAAAAAAAAAATCGCTTTCCCAACTCTCTACACAAATTATTTGCCTTATGAGTAATTAGTGCCCCTGTATACTGGGCTCCTGTCAGCATATCAGATTTCATTGTCAATTCAATGGATTATACAACTGTTGTCATTCCCAATCAGACTACAGTTGACCCTTGGACAACGTGGGGGCTGGGTGCCAACCCCCCATGCGGTTGAAAATCCATGTGTAACTTTTGACTCCTCAAAATCTTAACTAATAGCCTACTATTGACTGGAAGCTTTACCGATAACATGAACAGTTGATTTACACGTATTTTCCATGTTATATGTATTACATACTATATTCTCACAATAAGCTAGAGAATATATTTTTAAGAAAATCATAAGAAAAAAATCATAAGGAAAATACATTTACAGTACTGTACTGTATTTATTAAAAAAAAAAATCCACCCTAAATGGACCCGCACAGTTCAAACCTATGTTGTTCCTTGTTGGCTGTGGTTGAAGAGGGAATCACCTACCTGTTTAATGACATAATGAACCTCTTCAGAATTGAGAACACTGTATTTAATATCACTTGGCTTGCAAGGAGTAATCCCCTTATAGACAAGAGGTGTGTAGCATTTCATTGCAAACTTCAAGTCACTGACATGCCTCCTCTCCTCTAAAATATCTTCAAATTCATCCCATTTTTTGAGCTCCTTCTGTGGGTAAGGAAAATGAAAGAAAGTAACGCACATACTGTAAAATAAATTAGGGCAGATTAGGGACTACACTGGTAAGGTCTCATCTTTGCCAACATTTTTATTCAAGGACACACGAACAAGAGCAGAGTGCACTGATAAAAGGTTCTCCTATACTAAAAAAAAGGAAATATAATGACAGTTAGGGGTCAATAAATTGATATTGAATTATCACAATATTTTATTATGTCTGTTTGCTATCTTTGTAAAGCCAGTACCCTTTTGGAAAAGTCAACAAAGATAGTAAAGATGAGAGATTAAGCTCTAGAATAATCTGACCAATTTTATAATCAATTTTATCTGGTCAATTTTATCAATCACATTGATAAATATGGTTTGCCTGCCTCTTCTCCTTAGGATTCACAATTAAATCCAAGCATACAATAGAAATTCAAAATTATGTCAAATTAAACTACATGGGTGCCAATCCACTTAAGGCACCCCATATGTCCTCCAACTTCTTCAAATACTTTTTTCCTCTGGTGACTGAAGGGCTGAAGTTTGAACTTTACCCTCTTGGAGAAGTGCTGTTGGGGCGGCAGGGATGCCCAGGTCATGGCTCCTGCCACTTCCATCTACAGGCTGTGATGAGACGCAAAGAGCCACCTGCCTTCTCCCTGGCTACCATGCGTGTTGCTGACACAAAGGGTGTCCTCTATCCGGGGTTGGGCAGATCCTAGGAACTTCTATTTATCTTTCCTGCATTAACCTGTGTGAGCAGCGGTCAACTTACTGGGGAGAAAAAAATGCTTAGAGATTCTGGGGCACTTAAATAGCAATTCAGATTCTAGTAAAATGTATTATTATTATTATTTTTTTTAAGAATTGTTTTGATCAGGGAATTAAAAAATTTTTAAATTAGTTTTGAGAGAGCATGTGTATGTGAGCACGTGTACCAGTGGGGGAGGGGCAGAAGGGGAAGAGGGGGAGGGGGAGAGGGAGAGTGAGAGCGAGCGAGCGAGAGAGTGAGCGAGCATGTATCCCAAGCAGGCTCCATGCTCAGCAAAGAGCCTGATGCAGTGCTTGATCCCATGACCCTGGGATCATGACCTGAGCCAAAATCAAGAGACACTCAACTGAATGAGCCACGCAGGTGCCCTTAATAAAATGTTTTAAAGCCAAAAATAAATAAATAAATAAATCTGGAAGTTACAGTAAAGCTCAAAGAAGAAAATTTAAATCACCTGCTGTCCAATGACCCAGGGACCATTCTAGTGAATGCTTTTTTTCTGGGCATATACACACATTCCCACCTGACACACATACATTTTGATTTGTCACTTGAGTTTTTCACTTCCTGTATAAACTTCCTTGTCCTTTCAGTTTCTTCCACCATATTATTACTAATGGAACTTTTAATTATTTTCTATTCGTTGCTATTAAAAAATACAACACACATTATTATTTCTTTCTAATTTAATCATTAAACCCTGACCTCCTTCTAGTCTTCATCTTCCTAGACCTCCCTATGGCCTGACACCATTCTTAAGGGCTCCCTCCTTTCCCCACCTCCAACCATCCTGAAATTTTCCTATTTTTTTTTTTTAACATTTATTCATTTTTGAGAGGGAGAGAGAGAGAGAGAGAGAGACAGAGCATGAATGGGGGAGGGGCAGAGAGAGAGGGAGACACAGGATCTGAGGCAGGCTCCAGGCTCCGAGCTGTCAGCACAGAGCCCGACGCGGGGCTTGAGCTCACAAACCTTGAGATCATGACCTGAGCCAAAGTCGGTCGCTCAACCGAGCCACCCAGGCGCCCCTTTACTTTGGTTTTTAATTCATGACTCTTGTCACAGCAGAAGATCCATCTCATTTCTCTAATCCAGTGATTTCTCAACCTTGGGGGAAAATTTCAACCAAAATGAAAATGTTTCTTCTTTCCTCCCATTTCCCTTAATGTTAACATATCCAACTGTCCTGTCTCAACCCACTGTACTGCTCATCTGGCTTTAGATACTAATTGTACATGTGGTCGAACCTCCTGCTTGGTTCTCTTCTCCCATGGGAGCTCCTGATGTACACATTTAGTTGCAAACACTTCACATTTGGCCCTCCTAAGGTTTATTTATTTTTAAGAGACAGAGAGAGAGACAGATCATGAGCAGGGGAGGGGCAGAGAGAGAGGGAGACTTAGAATCCAAATCAGGCTCCAGGCTCTGAGCCGTCAGCACAGAGTCTGACACGGGGTTCGAACCCCTGAACTGTAAGATCATGACCTGAGCCCCAGTCGGATGCTTAACTGATTGAGCCACCGAGGCACCCCGACATTTGGCCTTTCTAAAACTGAACTCATTTCTCCTCTGCACAATCCTACAACCTGCTTATTTTCTGGAGTTTTACACCAGAAATCTCAACAACCACCATGCCATCTACATCCCTTTGCATTATTCTAGACCTCTCCTCCCTCACCCTTGTGTGCAATCCATCTGATCCTGTTAAGGTGGCCTTTAAGAACATAGCACATCTACTCCTCAACCACAGGTCCAGCCTGTGCGCTTTATCACAGCAGCCTCCTCACTGGTCTCCTTGACCCTTTGACTCTACCCTCCATGTTGCCATGTGCTCTTTTCAAAACACAATTCTGACCCAGTTGTTCCCTGCTTAAAATACTTAAATGACTCGCCACCTCCATTAGAGTAAGACCTAAACCATTTCTGATGTCATACAAGCACCCCTATGAGCTGGTCTGTCCCTCCCTCTCCAGACTCATTGGCCACCATGCTAAGGTCTACTCGATAGCAAATGATTTGCATTTCCCCAACACAGTTCATTGTTGACATGCTTCTGGGTCTTTGCACATGCTCATCTCTGTGTCTGGAAGGCCTTTTTGTTCCTCTGTCATCCTTGCTCAGGCATCACTCTTGTGAGAAAACCCTCCTTGAGTTGCTCAGAGGGACTTACTCTGCCTTCCCCACCAGAACGTCTTTACCCAGTACCTCCACCTATGATGGAATGTACCCATAATACTGCAATCGTTTGCATGTCGTCACCCCAAAATGCAAGTATCCTGAAGACAAAACACATGTCCTCTTTGTATTTCCCAACATCCAGGTGTGTTTGGAATAGAGCACAACTGAATGACTACATGTTGAAGTAACAGAAAAAAATATAGAATGTTAAACTGAGAACATGACTAGGCATAATGAGAATACAAACAAAAGAGCACTTAAGAGGAGTTTCAACATCAAAAGGGTAGCATGTAAAACGTGAAATATGCAAACACGAACATTGTTATGCCCACATATATAAAGTATAAAGAATAGATGAGGGAAAAATCTTCTAATGCTGGGATTCTACTGTAAAACTCTGTCCTTGTAACATATCATACTCTTGCTTGTAAGGTTCAAGAACCTTCTCAAATCTCCCATTTCTCATCAGTAAAAGAATATACAGTTTATGTATAGACTCAGACTTGGTACAATGTAACAAACTGTCATTATAGATTATATAATTTTAGGGATGAAAGGGGATTTAGAGACTTCCCACTTAGTGGTCCTGGCAGTGGGAAGAGAAAAGGATTGGAATCAGCTAGGGAGACAAAGATCTTCTCTCTCTCTCTCTCTCTGTACACACACACACACACACACACACACACACACACACACACACACGTAAGGCATTTATGTTTATAAACATTTTTATATTACATATGAATATACAAAATAATTATAAATAAGTGTACATATATAGAGACAGGGAGAGAGATGGAGGAGGGAGACCCTTCTGCGCTGTTCACCTGAAAACACTTAGCCATCAACCTCAGCCTCTGTTTACCTCTGTGTACCATTTCCTGACTCTCCCCCCTCAACCTAGACTGAACTGACCATCTTCTCCTTTGACTCTTAACTGAGCCTTTCATGACAGCATCTAAAATACTTCATTAAACCCAGATTGGTATCTCCCCTGCAAGACTGTAAACTTCTTGTCTGCGTAGGTAGTGCGTCTTATATGTTTTTGTATTCCCAGTTCCTAGTAGGAACTCATTGTAGAATGAAAAAATAAATTACTGAATGAAGACACTTCCTGAGCCCTGCTGCTGCTGGCTCCCCAATATTCACAGGCTAAAGCTCAAAGTGCTCCCAATCTGGTCCTGACCCAATGGCTAATCCAGTGATTTTTTAACCCAGGCTGCACATGAAAATAACCTGGGCACTTAAAAAATATACTGATGCCCAGGACCCCTTAGAGATTCTTGATTAATTTAGTCTGTGAATGGTACCTGGGCATCAGAATTATTTTTAAAAGTACTCCAAGTGATTCCTACTCGCAGCTAGGGTTGAGTGTTAACTACTCATTTGTTGGCCTTCCCTTTACATGATGGAGAAGTATTTATTACCATAAGATAAATGTATTTGCACAGCTACCCATCTAGGGGCACGATACAAAGAGGAGCCCAAGTAAGATTTCAGTTAGTTCCCCCCATTGTTTTTCTATCTTAATTTTTACAGCAGCCCCTTCTTATTTGTAGCTAAACAAGCTTCTCCTTGTACCTCCCTTTCAACTGCTCTGGAGGATCCATTCATTCAACAGATAGTTAGGGAGAGCCCACAACATACCAGGCGCTGTTCTACAGGCTGAGAATAAAATATGAACAAGGCAGACAAAGAACATGTAGGAAAGGAGCTTACGCTGCCTTACGGAAAGACAGACAACAAATAAGTTCACTTAGGCATACTCCCAGTGGCACGCTGGTGAATGTTTAACCATGGGAGAGCCCTGGCAGATTTCAAGCTACCAACATGACCTCCGTAGGCGGAGAGCTGGGGAGGGATGTGCAGTAGCCACTCTTACATAGCATCTCTACCTTACAGTCTGACGGACATAAATAACCTCAAAAGCGTGGGTAACAGTAAAATTTAGTAAAATAATTAGGGAGTGCTGAGCTTGGGGTATTTATTACTTTCATTTTTAACAGAATTTATTTAACTGTAAATTTACAAAAGTCAATCTTTAATTTTTCATAACGGTTGTATGTCAACAATGGGCTCTACAAACGTCATGAGACATTAACACACAGCTTTGAGAGTCAGTACAAGACTGATGTTAACACGACATTGGAAAAGGGAATATAAAGAAAATAAAATATAGTAACTAACCAGGAAGGACTGGAGAGCTACTTTAGATTGAATGCTTGGGTTGAGGCCTCTCTGGGAGGTGATATTTGAACTGGCACCTCAAATGGGACAGGGGAAGCGATGCAAATTTCTGGGAAAAACAGCATGCCACACAGAGGGAACTGTAAGCACGCTTAAGGGGAGAGCCTGCTTACTGTCAGAGAAACAAAGGCCAGTGTAGCTAAAGCCCAGTGAGCAACATTAGTAGAATCAGAGAGGTAGCAATGGTGTAGTCTTGCAGGACATTGTAAGGAGTCCAGATTTTTCCTTCAGGCTTTAGCAGGAAGCCATAGTTGGGGTTCTGGGTACACCAGGAAGTATCTATCCCCAGTCTTCTTTTCATTCCGTGCTCTCACGAAAAGGTTTCAAGCAGACCTACGGCTTCAGCTACAATTTGCTTGGTGATGTCTGACAAATCCGTATCTTTAGGCTAGACCTGCCTCCTTTCCTCTGGTACCATGTTTCTAACTCTGTCTGGATGTCTCCCAAACACCTGTGAGGTATGGGGTCCATAACGTAGTAATCCACGACTTCAAAATCATTCATTCTACCACTCGCATCTGGAACTGAACACATCTGAAACTGACACAACCTGTTCCTCTCCCCAGATTCCCTATCGGCAGCGTCCGCCCAGTTGCCGAATCACAGAAACCTCCTTTTCTTCAGCCACCGCATTCAACTATCCTAACCAACTCAAACTAACCAATTTACCCTTCTCCCTAGGCTCACTGCCATTGCCTCAGGCTTTTAGGACTTCTCTGGATGACGGCAATCGTGTTCGGTTGCTCCCCAGGCTTAGGGCGTCAGATTCCTTCTCCTATCAGATTCTCCTTCTACCGTCTCTACTTAAGTGAAGGTTATCCACACAAATAACCACTCCAGAAACCCAGCCTCCTTAGACTTCCAAAAATACAAATCCGATCATCCTTAAAGGTTCCCTTAGAAAGCTTTTATTCTTTTTTTTTTTTTTTTTTTTTAATTTTTTTTTTCAACGTTTATTTATTTTTGGGACAGAGAGAGACAGAGCATGAACGGGGGAGGGGCAGAGAGAGAGGGAGACACAGAATCGGAAACTGGCTCCAGGCTCTGAGCCATCAGCCCAGAGCCTGACGCGGGGCTCAAACTCACGGACCGCGAGATCGTGACCTGGCTGAAGTCGGACGCTTAACCGACTGCGCCACCCAGGCGCCCCGAAAGCTTTTATTCTTAAGGGTGCGTAAATATGATATATAAAATCCCTCTAGGAACTATCTTCTGCCCACTTCCTTAGTTTTGTTTCCCACGTCTCCTTTATTCTACCCTTACCTAACTACTAGGTTCTCCCAAACATGCAAGGGAGTGGCTTTCTTACATGGGTGCCTACCATGGGTGTCTTCCTCTCCTTCATCTCCCATTCACACCTCAAAAACTCAGCTCACATGTCGCCTTCTCTTAAAAGTCTCCTCTGAGTCCCCAAACAGGTCAGGTGCTCCTTCTCATTCCTGCCACAACGTGCTGTGGATGATTTGACCTTTGCCCTTACCTCACTTAATTGTAATTGCAATTGTTTATTTTCATAACTTCAAGTCCATGGAGGCAAAGGCTGGGTCTTTAATGTCCATATTCTGGGTGTTGAAAATAATGACTAGGACGCTGTAAGTAACCAGTGCTGTAATGTTTGTTGCAATCAGGAGTATCTTACATATCTCTAAGTACTACTCTCACATTAGATTATTGCACAAGAACAGTGTGGCTGAGGAAATAAGGACAGCCTGAAATAGTAAGAATAAGTTCAGGTTATCCTAAGAGTAAAGCCTATGCAGTTACAAGAATAGTGAGGGCTTCTGTCCAGCTTCAGAGGTAGAAAAAGCTCACGTACAATCGCCTTAATTTTTCATGTGAAAAAGCCGACCAAAGTGTTATCATTAAAGAACCAGCAGTAAATGGGGAAGTAAAAAAAAAAAACAAACCCAACTCTTTCCTTTATATGCATGTGCAAAATTGCAGTCAATTCACAAGCCAGTTTAGGGCTGAAAAAGCTACCTATGGTGAGTCAGGATCTACACAGCAACCCGGTTCCCTGTATGCCTGGTCTGGAACAGCAGAGGCAGAAAATGAGGTCAAAATAGTTCCCCCACAGAGCTGTGGGGTGAGGTCAACAACTAGAGAGGTTAAAGTAATAACTCTCACAGAAGTGGGCAGTTGACAGCAATTATAAGCCCAGAGCTCTCCACATGGAGGGAGAAGTTTCCCCATGTTCCAAAGAATGCTGGTGTCCCAATTTGAAGGTAGCCCTGTATCTACCTTCTCTTTTGAAACTGAGTTTTTGGTTTATCTCATTGTTTTGTCTTTTCCCTGTTACGACCTTCCTACACACAATAACATTATATTTAAGACAGAAATTGGCACTAACCTCCGTGACATAGTAACATGCTTTTTAAAATGCATTCTTTCATTGCCTTGTAAAGTACGTAAAAATTAATTTCGTGGTTAAAAAAAAAAAATCAGCTGCCCCAGAATTGTGCAATCCTGAGAACTACAAAGCGTTCACCTCATAATTTCTTCATATAAATGGTGAGCGACCGACATTCTGTTGGCAAAAAAGATCAGTTACAATCGGGAGAGGGAGAGAGGGTTGGGGGTTAGAAGGCAAGTTGGGAGAGACCGGGCGGCATTAGCTTCCTTCCGCAAAACGTACGGATGGAAGACAAAAAACGCAGTAAAATTTTCCAGAAGCTCCCAATCTTTCTATTTGAAAAACTTTTAAGTCTTATCACAAACTCTGTGTCCCCATACGAGCCAAATACTTTTCTCCCAGGAACATCACGGCAGCAAAAGGGCGGGGTGGGGAGCCACACGCTGACATATCAGGCCAGGTCAGAATCGCAGGTTTCTCCGGTTCCACCTACAGGCAGCCCCTCGTCGGAGGCAGAGAGATCCCTTTCTCACGCCTCATTCCTGCGTCAGGGGCTCTCTGAAGGCCCCCCGCCTGGTGGAGGCAAAGAGAAGGAACGAGTGGAAAGGAACCAGAGGAACCGTCGCCCATAGAAACTTCTAAAAGCTTACACACATTCACACACACAGCGATACACCGTTGCCTTGGAAACCAAGTCAACCACCTCACCCCTCCTCGGCGACCCCGGCACCCACTCTTTTGGGCCAGGGGTCCTGGCCCGTAGGAGGCCGGGACCGGGAGGGTGGGGTCCTCTCTTGCGGCCCCGCCCCGGGCCTCGTTCCCCGGGGCGCCTACCGAGTAGAGGAGCACGACAGCGCCGGGACTGGCGGAGCCGACGGAGAAGCTAGAGTTAGATGAGCTGGAAGAATCCATGATGCGGCTGCCGTCCGGGCGGGGCCTGAAATTCTTTGCTAAGCGGTCGTAGTGATGCTGCTGGGGGCGGTTCTTCCGCGCAGGGCGGCCCGACCTCGCCTAGGGCGGCGGCACCCTCTGCGGCCGCTCTTCAGGACCCCGGGCGCCGCCATCTTAACCAGGACGGAAGCCGCGCCGGGACCCGCGACGCACGCGCGCGCGCGCGCAGCGCATCAGAACTCGGAAGTGTGGGCGTCCGGGCGGGCTCTGGGCGGCACGGCCGTGGCAGACCCCGCGATGGCCCAGGAGCGGGGATCGGAGGCCCCCGCGCCTCCGGGTTCTCAGACACTTCTGGATGCCCTGCTCCGGAACCTCTACGACTTCGGTGAGTGAGGGGCCTCGGAGCCCACGTGGAGAGCGGACTTGCAGCCGAGGTGTCTGCTGTGCCTTCCGAACTGGGTAGCCTTTGGCGTTCAAGGCTAAAGGTTCTTGCACGTGGAGCACCCCTCCCTTTGCCGACCTGGTTCCCAGGATGGGTTCAGCACACACCTG